GCCTGCACTTGCCACTCAAACACGTTGCTGAAATCTGTATTTGTAGTGCGCACTCGCGCTTGCTGTGGCGGAGCACGAGGTCATTGTTTGTTCAGGGATCGCTACTACGAAAGGGATACGAAATGAGTGACGCTCTGGAATATTCAGATGGCAGCACGAGTGAGACTAATTCAGCGCAAGTCCAAATGCTAGCTGCCGATACGATGGCCGAGAGGAATGCGTGGTGTGCTCTACCATCGAGGGCAGCAGAGCACATCCGTCTGCAGCGTCGAAGGCAAGACGATCAGTGATGGGTCAAAGTGCAGCTGATCTAGAGAAAATCAGTAACAAGAATCTGAGCTCGTCAGAGCCATCTTAAACGCGTCCCATGGCGAGTAACGGCGGTGATGTTACCGCCAGGTCTCGAATACAGTCAAGGAGTCAAAAGTCACGAGTGTTTAGATGAATTTTGGTGAGCCGTTGTGTGACGAGCCTCGTGCTTGGCACTCCAGAGGCGTGAGGTGGGAGCCATCCACGTCACAGTCTTTCCGTTGGTCGATCACACGAATCACGAATCAAGAATCAAACAATCATGAATTCACATTGCTGTGGATCAAGATTAAGGGATGGCGGAACAGTCACGAGTATAGTCTGGGTCGTCCTGAGTGGCGCAGGGCCACCGGCTACGCGCCTTTTAGGTCGAGAACAATCTGCTGGAAGGGTTCCGCTTCGTGGCGCGTGCACCGTTAGAGGTGCGATGTGCATCCTCTCAGCACGCAACTCGATGCTCGCGATGGCGACATCTCGACTACCATTCACTAGCGGGCTACGCGAACCCAGCGTGCTATCACTCAGACTGGTAACGGGTGCTGGTTGCGGTACTTTGCCCTTCCGTCTGGCTTACGTGGAAAACGCCTGCCAAGATCTGCCGGCCGTCGGCACGACGAAGCCTTCGGCACCAGCCCCGCCCATCACGTCACCTGGAACGAGTCAGCCCCCGCGTGGCTCTTGGCCAAAAAGAGGCCACTCGAGCTTTCCTTCCACATCTCTTGAGACAGCCGCCCTGACCATTCAACATTGGGAAAAGCCAGCGTGCAGATTCCACGAGAAGCCAGTCTGAGTAGGCCCATCATCAAGCGGAGTGCTCGAAGAAATGACGTGACTGGATGGGACCCAAGTCAAGCGGCGCGATGCTGTTCGGAGAAGCGTCACTGGTGTAACCTGCTGCAGTCACGAGTGGCACCGATATAAGCGATATATGAGAATTCAGGGTGTTGCAGCCGGTGCGACTGCATTATCATCAGCACGCAATCACGAGCTCAGGTACGACCGAGGCGACCAATGAGCATCCGGAGTGCATACAACAGGGCGCTAAGGTGTCGAACTGGGAATTTGAAAATCAAAGCTCATGATGCTACATGAACCTAGGACTCGCAACTCTCCATCAGATCCACAGTTCATGACAGCCTGAGTCTGGTTGCGAGAGGACAGGCATTCGCGGGAAGAGTATGCCGTGTTCCTAGAATCAGTGTCCGACGAAACAACATGGAGACTGCGTCTGTCA